TTTGCTCCGAAAACTCTTTGTGTTTCCAAGCAAAGAGGGGCAGCTGTAAGCACGTAATTTTTGACCAGCGCAAATTTTAAATTTAGTTATAGTATTTTCACTCGAGTTATTATACAATTTGAGTCTATTTTATTTTTAACTTCAAAACATAAATTTGAAAACACAAAAATAGTTTCACCTTTATAATATTCGTCATATTATACATATTTTTTTATATTATAATATAATTTAATATCATTAGTCTTTTTGTAGCGATGTTATTCTAATTTCGATATCTTTTCTATTTTTACTTTAACATAATCTTTGGAAAAATACAAATATATATATATATATATATGGATTTGGTTTAGTTAAAATCAATTAGTATTTTATTATTCTTAAAAAAAAAAGAAAAAAAAAAGAAGTAAAATGAATTTTTTAGGGCTAGTTTTGTCTTGGTTCAATTGAAGAAGACCAAATTTAGCTCAAACTTGAGCCCAAATTGGGGAAGCCCATTCCCTTTCCCCTACCTAACCTGACCCGTCCAAACCGGACCGACCCGCCCTATCTCCCCACTTAATCTCAGCCATTCACCTCCCTTAATCTAATGGCACATATCCTCTCCCCCAACCAAATATATATAATGCTATAACCCTTTAAACTCTAACCCTAAAACACAAAAAACGGCTCCCCCTTTAGTTAGATTTGTCCGGAAAATGCCCCGAAGGATTTGTAGATATTTTATACCGGGGAATGCCCCGAAGAACTTTGTAAATATTTTGGAGGCCTTGACGCGCATTGAGGAGACGCATATAGATTTGTAGTATTTTATTTTTATTTTTTATTTTCATTTTATTTTCCTTTCCTAGATGGGGACGAGCCTCGAGCCTCTTTTGTGTTTATTTTCCTTTTATGTGTTTATTTTTACCTCAATTTGAATATTTTAAAAACCAACTAATCGAGTACGCAACCGTGACTTTCACGGGACTCGTGCAATGCCTAACACCTTCTCCCCGTGTCAAATAAACTCTCTTACCTAGGACTCTGGTGTAAACTTAGTTTTGAAGTCCAAAGTGTTTTTAAAAGGAAAAATTATTTCTAAAAATGGTGACCTGACACACCGAAATCAAATGTCAGGTGGCGACTCTGAAAAGTTCTTTTGAACACAAATTATTGTCACTTTCTAATTGAAAACCCTTTTTGAACTTTACAAATCTTTTTATTATTATTTTTAAAGAGGGTTAAGTAAGGTTGAAAAAAGGGGCATAATATTTTTCACGTAAAAATTACTTGTGTTATTTACTTTCTGCATTTATTATTCCGCAACTGTAGTGTAAGGAACACGTAGAAGAACTAGGTCATTCTATAATATGTGCACGCGAAAAATTAAATACCACACAAATCACTTCCCCTCTCGTGTGGTATTGAAGTATAAAATATCACAATCCCTGTTTACCTGTCACAACTTTTGTTGGACCAGTTGATTAACATTTGGCCGAGGATTCGTTAAAATATTTTAACGACTTTGACACCAATAAATCCAAAATATAAGTGACTAGATAGAATCCTAATGTCAAAACATCTAATAAATACAATACGGAATAAAAGCATCTAAGGCATAATATTTGTAAATAATTCCGAGTAAATCTTTGGATTGACATATAATCATTTTTATGAAAATAAAATAAAAGAGTAATATCTAGTTGTTACCGAATAGAGTATATACAAATTATTTGTAACTATATTTTGGAATAATGTCAGTGAGATTACAAAATAAGATTAGATGAAATCTAATAATGGTTTCAAGTTCCCAAAAGAAATTTCAAAAAGATACTTTTCTATTTTTCCTTCTTCGAAGTCTAATCCATATTCGTTATTGCTTCCTCTGTGATTTTGACATGCATTCTTGATAATATCGTATTCATATAGTATCAACCAATTATAGTTGACGTTTAATGTTCGTCACCATTAAATTCTATACTCGTTTTAATTTAGATAAGTTAGTTTAACTCGGTACAATCGTTTTTTTTTTTAAAAAAAAAAAGAAGAAGATTTTGAAACTTGTGGTCTTAAAATCTTTGTGAGGCCATGACATTTGTACGGTTATAAAAACTTCTCATTAAGGATAAAATTGGTAAAATGAAGAATTTAAAGTTGAATTATTTCCAATTGTAGAAATACGTCATTCTTTTTGAAACGGACTAATATGAAAAATGTGTCATCTAAATTAAAATAGAGAAAATATATAATAGAGGAACTAGTGCACCCATCCTTTTAAAATCCTGTTGCCAGCCCCTATTACAACAAGTAGTTATTTCATGACGGTTTTTATTTTTGTGTTTATGAGCGAGTTAACCCTAACCCAAATGTGCGTTACGTTGTTTATAAGTACTATATTTCTAGTGAAAAATAAAACTAAATCTAAATTAGTATCATTCTATTATTTCTCTTTATAAATTTACGACGACTTTTATTATTGCCTCTCAAAATTACATATACTTTTGGGATAATACATAAAATCCTTCCCGACCTATGACCATATTACCAACTACACACATTTTTTTTCGGGGGTCCTATTACCCCCTGAACTATTTTAAAGTGTAATAAACACCACCCTAAGTGCTGACGTGGCATAGAGAGTGTGCACACTCTCTTAAAGGCAAGTGAAAGTTACACAAATTATTTTAAAATGGATTAAACGTACAAGTGTCATCTTTTGATTGGACATTACATAGTTAGTTACATCTAATTAATTAGTCTCATTCGTCTTCTAAACCTTTTCTCGCACGAACAAGGGGGACATCGTTTCAACGGCGAAATGCCGGAGCGAAAATTCAATGCAACACAAAAATCAACCCAAAAATCAAAAGCAGATATGTTTAATAACAGAGGCAGAGCTACAACTAGAGGGAGCAACGAGCATGATTCAGTAAGAACCTACGAACATTCAAAACGGTCAACAATAATGGAGTTTCGCCAAAGCAAGGGTCTTCGTCGGAGTTTCGTTCTCCGGCCAGATCTGACAATATCAAACAAGTATTATAGTAAACCCATCAAATGAGGCTTTTGCCTTTTGGCCGGATATGGTAACGAAGGTCTGCAAATAGGAAAATAAGGAAGAAGGAGAAAACGGTGAAAAAAAGGTTTTTAAATAAGAAATACACATTTTTAGGCGCGTGTATTTCACCACTTTGCACGCATCTGATTGTAGCTTTTTAAGGGGTAAATAATTTTACTTTAAAATAGTTCAGGAGGGTAATAGGACCCTGAAAAGAAAAGGTGTGTAGTTGGTAATATGGTCATAGGTGGGGGAGAATTTTATGCATTATCCCTATAATTTTCTTTTTGGTACTTCCTTTACATCAAGAGTAGGTGTGTACATGGACCGGGTTGGTTCGGTTTTTATTAATTCCGAACCAAACCAACTATATCGGGTTGGATTAGTTCGATTTTGTCGGGTTTTTCGGATTTTTTTGTTACTTGAATATTATTTCAGTCTTACTTTGTTAAACTTTTTATAAGTAAATATATGTTTAGTAAAAATTGAAAAAATTGACAAACATATAATCTATTAAAATATTTTATGGTAGAGTTTTGTTAATAACACATGATAGTTATTTTTTTAGTCCCCTAACAATAATTTTTCGTTGATGTATACTTTCAAGGTTAAACGAATTTAATAATTAAACTTAAAAATCAATATGATACCTAATTAATGATAAGTTCTATTTAATTTTACATTATCGAAACATTCGAATCCCAAATATTTCTAGAATTTTTGTAAAGAAAATTCTATATAAAGTCTTAAAAGTATATATAAAAATTATATATTTATATGTCGGTTTGATTCGATATTTTTTTACTCAATACCACACCAAATCAAATCAAACCTAGTCGGGTTGTTTAATCGATTTGGTTTGACTTTTCGATTTGGTACGATTTTCCCGTTCGGTTTTTACCCCCTAATCAAGAGTTTCGGATATTTCATGGGGTAGCAAATGAAAATAGACTTTTTCAAGAGGAAAAAGAACAAAATAAGATTACAATGTAATCTCACTCATATTTGTTGAATCTTTGAGGAAAGAAAAAACAAAAAGAAAAATTGACTCTTTTGAATTCATGCTAATCTGCATTTAATTGAGAAGTCTTTAGCGAAATATAAATACCCATTCTTGCTTTTGCATTTTCTACACCTCTTTACTGAAATCAAGCTTTGAAAAGGTTAGGGTTAAACTATCCTTTTCTCTTCCTCTTCCTTTGTGAGTTTGAGTACGATTTTTTGGTAGTTGGGTTCTAAAAGTCTTTGATTATTTGTATGATTTTGTTTGCTCATTTACATGAAACATCTGCAACATGAACATTCAATCATGTGATATTGTTTCTAAAGTGTGGCAAGTCTGATTTTACTGCCTTAGTTTGAAAAAGATAGACATTATTTTCTTATTAGTCTGTTTTAAAAAGATTGGTATCTTTCAATATTTCTTTAATAAGATGCATTTATAGTCACACATATGTCATGGCAGGTTTCAGGCCACGAGTTTTAAAAGTTTTACAGCCACACAAATGATATGACTTATTTAAGATCACATGTCTCAAAAGTCTTCCCTTCTTTATTAATATTTGTGCCAAATCAAATTTAGAAACCCCCTCCGGTCCATAATAAGTGACCAATTTGCTCTTTTATTTTGATCCAAAATAAGTGCCATTTATATAATCAAAAAAAATTCAATTTGTTTTTCCAAAATTACCCTTATTTAAGTATCCATAAAAATCATTTACTCCTCACATTTGAGAAGAGAAGTAAGTACTACTATAACTATGGTGCAACACTTAATGAAGGTAGTCATATTAACTATTTTTGTCTAAAATTTAGTATTTCCTTAATGGGTGTGTCAAAAACAAATTGGTCACTTATTATGGACGAAACTGTAGGAGTAACTCTTTTTACCCATTTTGACTTCATTCTTAAACGATCAAATCAAACATATTTTTCTTCATCTTTAATAATTTCTTTTGATTGTTTTCGTTCAATACTTCAATATTAATTTAATCTCTCTGTCTTTTTGTGGTTACGATAAAGTCTCAATAAAAGAAATGGCATCAATGACGAAGGGGTTGTTGCAGAGTCCTGAATTGCATGAGGTACTCATTGTTCTTCTGCATATTTCCCATCTATTTCATTTCTTTTCTTAACTTATTAGTTATATATATATATATATATATATCATCCATTTTTCTGCTAAGTATCTTCTGGAGACTTCTGTGTATCCACGTGAATCAGAGCTTCTCAAAGAGCTGAGGGCTATAACTGCAAATCATCCACGGTACTTTCCCTTTACATTCTTTTATTTTTAAATTTCCGATGTAATCCCACAAGTCGGGTCTGCGGAGGATAATGTGTACGCAGACCTTATCTTTATCTATAGGCATTGAGGTTGTTTCCGATAGACCACTCAGCCAGTGGCGGAGCCAGGATTTTTATTAAGGGGAGTCAAAATATAAAGAAACAAACTCACCAAGAAGTCAAGAGGTGTCATTATATACATATTTTAAAAAAAAATTATCGAGCTAAATAGTGTAATTTTTCGAGGAAGGTACCCCTTGGGTGCATGTGGCTCCGCCACTACCCTCAGCTTAGGAAGGATAAAAGGAAGAAACAACAACAAGCAAACAAATTAGAAATCGAAGTGAAAGAAACAAGTAATAACAGAAATCAAAGAATAAGAAAACGCAAGCTAACATTGAGTAATGCACTAGATCTACTAGAATGCGCAAGGATAACGCTCGGCTACCTAATCCTCTACCTTAATTTGTTGACGTGATTAAAGAACTATGATTGGCTGAAACAACAAATTAATCAGATCTAACCTATCATCCTTAAAAACATGTATTTAGCATTAATGGCTACAGGAGTATTAATTATTTCAAGTAATGTGTTTAATTAAGAACTTATCAATTTTTTATTTTATTTGTGCATCAGGTGCAATATGGCAACTGCACCAGAAGCTGGCCAATTGATAGCCCTGCTTTTGAATGTGGGAAATGCTAAAAGGACTATTGAAATTGGAGTGTTCACTGGATACTCTTTGCTCCTTACTGCGCTTACAATTCCTGATGATGGAAAGGCTAGTATCATTGATCATTTTTTCATTTTATTTTTGGAAGGCAAGCTAGTATATTGTTAAACATTGGGTTACAGTACTAAATCTAAGTTGCTCCGACACGTCAGTTTAGGTGCTGCACTCGTACTGACACGACAGTAATATGGGTGTGCGTATGGGAACTGGCCAATTTTTTTTGAATACTTTGACCTTGACGGACGAAAAAATTTGAGACGAGATACAATTTGATTCCCGAAATAAGAACCAAAACTAGGTTAAATTAAAGAAAATAGCATATTTTATCTAGAAAGTCAATCTTTTACTTATCGACAATTTGAAAATAAAAAAGAAATCCACACTTTACAAGCTATACGTAAGTATTCCACAAAATTTCTCATTATTTAGAGATTGTTTTTTTATTTTTTTGAATTATTTTTAGCCGGATCCTCACACCCATATCCATACTAGGATCCTATCCCCAAATCTTAGAATTTACATCTTGAAAGATTCAAACTCTAGATCCGCACCTGTATCGGATATCTTCACAAAATGCCTATAACATATAAATTCTTAAGGGATGTTTTGAGTGCAGATTACAGCTATAGACTTGAATCGGGATGCATACGAGATGGGTTTGCCAATTATCAAAAAGGCTGGAATTGAGCACAAAATCAATTTCATACAATCGCCGGCTTTATCAGCTCTTGGTGAACTCTTGGAAGATGTAAGAAAAATAAACTTTAAATTCTTTTGGCATTGCAAGTTGTTAGTTAGTCCTTATTTCTCACATCCCATCAAATTTCAGCAGGTTAAGTACTAAACAAATTAGAAGAAACCAAAATACTGTACATCTTCTTTTATAAGGGTGGTATGGGAGGCCGTCCGACTTGTGTGCACTTCAATTATTCCATTGAAATTCAGGATTCCTAAAATTTTAAGCACTGATTGAAAATTTTAAAATTATGCATTCGGAGTATAATATTTGTTATTCCCTCCGTTCTAGTTTATGTGAACCTATTTTCTTTTTAATTTATTTAACAAAGACTGCCCTTCTCTAGATGTCGAAATAATTTATATTAAACTTCTCATCTTATCCTTAATGAGAAGTTTTTAGAGCCACAAATACTATAGCATGTTTAATACCACAAATTTCAAAGGAATTATATTCACACATATGCTATGGCTTATAGAAAAATTTCAAAAATCTTCATTTATTTCTTAAACTCCATGCTCAATCAAATAGGTTTACATAAATTGAAAGAAAATAGTATTTTATTAATTTATCACTCACACACACACATATAACAACAACAACAACAAAAAAAAACAATATAAGCCTACGAGTGGGTCTGGGAGGGTAGTGTGCAGTGGCGAAGCTAAGAATTTTCCCAACGGTATTCAAATTTGAAAGAAGTGAAAAAAATTTCTGACAAAGGATGTTTAATATATGTTATATACCTCTAAAACGTAATATTTTACCTATATACACAGTGCATTTGTTTTGACAAATGGTGGTCAACTGACTACCCTTGTGGTCCGATCGTTCTTTGGACCTCGACTATAACGGGAGCTTAGTGCACCGTACTGCCGTTATTTTCACGTGACATTTAAAATATATTCTGTTATTTGCAGCAAAGCAACAGAGGAAGTTTCGACTTTGCTTTTGTCGATGCAGACAAATGTAGTTATCAAAAATACCATGAGAGACTGTTGCAGCTAGTGAAGGTTGGTGGCATAATAGTGTATGATAACACACTTTGGTTTGGAACAGTTGCTATGCCAGAGGAGTCTGTTCCAGAAGCTCGAACACCAGACAGACATCACATTATCGAACTTAACAAGTTTTTAGCAGCTGATTCTCGCATTCAAATTTCTCAAGTCCCTTTGGGTGATGGAATCACTATTTGCAGGATACTGTGAAGTTAATGGCGATTGATGAGAAGATAATCTATTAGGAAGATTTTCCTTCTTTGTTTTTTCTTGAAACTATTTGTAGTTAAAAAAGGTCTGCCTTCGATAAGATTTGATGAAAATACTTTCTTTGCTAGCTGTTGTTGCACTTTTTTTTCCCACACAGTATTCGGTATTTACACATTTGTTGGGCACATGCCCATGTTGTCCAGCCAAAGGCCCAATGACCTAATCCTATTCTCTTTTGGTTTCCAATTCTATTTGGAATTGGATTCGGTTTATTCCTGTTTTGAGTGGGGTTTGGCTTTAAGAGAAAACACCACTCATGATCTATAAATAGGACAACCTTGGAGAATTGTTCTATGCTCATTGATACAAGTCTTTGAAAGACTTAAGCACATAAGAGTGGGTTTTGAGAGAGCTTTCATCAAGAGAGAAGAGAGAAAAAAGTATTTGTTTTGCTGCAGATTTTTATTCCGACCAGCCAACTTCAAATTACGTTTTCCGATTCGTTAACCGTTGGATCGGGCTGAAATTTTGACTGAGTGTTCGTAACATCTTAGTCTTAGATTTGAACGGTGGAGATCGGATTTGGAGGCTCGTAGCATCTGATTTCGAGCCTCGAACAGCAGCTTCGTTTTGTGGATTATACTCTTTCTTCAATTGATTAGTTGTTGCTCTTGTTGCTCTTGTTGCTATTGTTGCTCCGTGTTTGACCCTTGTTGTGTAGCCAATTTGGAGAAATTTTGTAACCCTCTTATTGTTATAGTGGAGGTTTTTGGATCTTTGTGATCCCGTGATTTTTACCTTCGATTTGAAGGGTTTTCCACGTTAAAATTTGGTGTTCTTTATCTTCTTTATTTTCGGGTTTGCCTCTTCCTCGACATATTGCTAGGTGTTTGTCATAATTTTCTTACCATATTTGGTTTTCCTATCTCTTGAAGGAAAAGGGCAATATAATTTACCTTAATTGGTTTTCCTTTTTGTAAAAGGAAATTATGAATTTCTAATATTTGGCTAGTCCTTTTTCTTGGAGGAAAAGGTTTGGACTTCTATAAATTGAGGATCCTTCCTTCTCATTCAGTAGCATCCACAATGTAGCCATAGGGGGCTTGAGAGTCTTGTTTAGGGGGAGAACTTTATGGGACAAGTGTTAGTGTGTCACTTGTGTTTGCCTCTTCGTGAGGTTGTTCTCTCGATATTTTGTACTCTCTTTTTATTATAGTGGATTGCTCATCTCCGTTGTGGACGTAGGTCAGTTGACCGAACCACGTTAAATGTTTGTGTCTCTTTTGGTAGATTTCTCTTTTGTTGTGTGATTTATCGTCGTTCAAGGTTTGCTTTGCTAGCTTTCGAATGACACCTGATTTTTTCGGTCCTAACAAGTGGTATCAGAGCGAGGTTCAAGACAGGTTCATCTTGGCGGGTTCAGTTCTAGCTGCAACATATTTGACGATAATCATGATTTTTTATCTGAGAAATTTGACCGGAGTACTACGCACGTTGAGACAAACTTTGTGGCGAAGACTGGAGATGCGACCTGTTGAAGGCTATGTGAACAAGGTGGATCAAGTTTATTTTGTCAGAAAATTCAAACCAAGGGGGAGAATTGTTAGGTGTTTGCCATAATTTTCTTACCATATTTGATTTTCCTATCTCTTGAAGGAAAATGACAATATAATTTACCTTAATTGGGTTTTCTCTTTTGTAAAAGGAAATTATAATTTCCAATATTTGGCTAGTCCTTTTTCTTGGAGGAAAAGGTTTGGACTTCTATAAATTGAGGATCCTTCCTTCTCATTCAGTAGCATCCACAATGTAGCCATAGGGGGCTTGAGAGTCTTGTTTAGGGTTAGAACTTTACGGGACAAGTGTTAGTGTGTCACTTGTGTTTGCCTCTTCGTGAGGTTGTTCTCTCGATATTTTGTACTCTATTTTTATTATAGTGGATTGCTCATCTCCGTTGTGGACGTAGGTCAGTTGACCGAACCACGTTAAATGTTTGTGTCTCTTTTGGTAGATTTCTCTTTTGTTGTGTGATTTATCGTCGTTCAAGGTTTGCTTTGCTAGCTTTCGCATGACACCTGATTTTTTCGGTCCTAACAACATTGGGGCCCGATTAAATTCGGATTCGCGTCGAAAAGTCCCACATTGAGGGGTAAAGCGATCCTTAATAAAGGCGACTCCATACCCAAGGCTCGAATCCGAGACCTCTGGTTAAAGATGAATAAGTACTTACCACTTCACCACAACCCCTGTTGGTAGCTGAAGAGGCAGAATTGGAAGCAGAAAAAATGCAGAGAAGCTCGGTATGGTACAACTTTGACATTTGTAAGATTACTAACGCCGGGTTTAAATTGGAATTTGTCTCGTCAAAAGTTCATGGTGACTCTAATGTATGTGAATTTGAGATTGAAGACACAAATTCTGAAATAGAGTATTGGAAAAACGCAGTAGTATGTTACGTTTTGGGAGCTCATCCACCCTTTGCAGTATTAAGTGGATGTATTCAGTGGAGTGGACTAAGTATGGTAACAATAAGATTTCCATGCTGAAAAATGGGAATGTATTGGTTCGTTTTGACACTGCCATTGGAAAAAATGAAGTGATATAAGGGGGGATTTACCACTTCGATAATAAATTATTCATAGTGAAAACTTGGTCCCCGGACATGAAATTCACAGGAGAAGAACTACATACAGTCACTACTAGAAAATTGCCAAATTTCGTCCACGAAAACCGATCGAAATCGGTTGAAATTAAAGGAAAAGCGACCGATTTTCGACCGTTTTTAATTCGTCCGAAAAATAATGATCGCTAAGGTGTTGCGACCTAAGGCGGTTGCAGTTTTCCGACCGAAGTCGGTCGGTTAATTCAACATTTTGACTAACAACAAAAAATAAATATACCGACCGAAGTCGGTCGATTAATTCAACATTTTGACTAACAACAAAAAATAAATATACCGACCGAAGTCGGTCGGTATTATTTAAATTATTTTTGATTTATCATTCAAAATAGCGACCGACATTGGTCAGCATTATAAGTATATGTTAATTTTGTATTTCTTTGTAAATTGTAACAAACCGACCGAAATCAGTTGGTATAATAAAACATAAATAAATAAAAAAGTAATTTCCGACCGAAATCGGTCGGAAATGTTGAATTTCTGAGAAATAATATGAGATTTTTGGCCGAAATCGATCGGTATTCTGGGTAAAAACCTGGCAGAATATGCCTGCTTTTAAGCTACACCACATTCCAATTACAACCAATATCCATCCTATAATGACAGCATTACATTGCTCTCATTCAACCACAATTAACCAATAACAACCACAACAACAACAACAACAATTAACCAACAACAACAACCACAACAATAATTAGCCAACAACAACGCTAATAACAACCACAGCCACAACAACGCTAATAACAACCACAACAACAACAACAATGCCAACCACAACAATAACTATACAAATGTTCAATAACAAAATAATATCAACAATACAATCATCATTCAAAATTATTCCCAACTAAATATTCACAAGTTCAAGACTTTGTTTAGCAATACACACCATTCAATGAGTGTTTTGTATTGAATCATCTCCATCTTCACTACTAGAAGCTTCATTGTCAGCAAGGTTCGAAGGATCACGACGAAAAGGATTAGCATCTGGGGAAGGCTCACGAGACCAGGGAATGGGGAAAGCACCACTAGCAAGAAGATTGGCCAGCTGACCTTGAAGGAGATTAAATTGTTGGTCCCTCTTTCTAGCTGAACTTGAAGGGTACCAAATTGTTCATCTCTCTTTTGTTCTCTAGCCTTGTCTCTTCAAGCTCTGCTGTCAGCTTTGCGATCTTCTTCTCCATAGACGAGAGAGTCGACCGATCAATTGCCTTGCCTTGGGCGGAAGTCCTATACCTTGCAATCCAGTCCTATAGCACCGAAATGATCTCTCAGGAAGGCCATATGCTATCGCCTTTTTAGAACCACCAACAACATCTAACCATATCCTCTGCGCTTCTTCGTCTGAAAGGGGTGGTCGTTCGCCTTGCTGATTCGGTGGCAAGCTCTAAGTGTGCTCCTCCATATTAATCTTGTAGCGACCCTTTATTTAGAAGATAGAAAATTATTAACTATATAATATTGTAAACATTAATATCAAGTTATAGTAGTTATGAAACTTACATATGCAGTCTCCGCCCGGTCCTCGACCCATCTAGACTGATCTGTCAGTGCCTTCTTCTTCCGGATGTGAGTCTCCATGAAAAACTCATCATGAGTCATCTTCCTCCCAAATATTTTTCCCTAAAAATATAGTAAAATTTGTTAACTAAACTAAAATATATATTAAGTTGTATCCAATTATATTAAGTTGTATTAATACAATTTAGATCAATTATAGCAAGTTTTAATCGAATATAATTGAATTTTCAATTGATCCACCGACGAAGTATCCGAGCAAAGTATTAATAAGGTGATCGAGAATATAACATTCAAGACTGTGTCGATTGTACACGTCTTGGAGCATCTAGTCACTCATTATACCGGAGCATCTAGTCACCAAAACTCCAAGATTTGTTTTCTTATTTAGTCATCGAACAAGCATTCGAGTATGAACAGTTGAGAATAAATCATCAACGCTAGTCATATGTATGTAAGTGTAAATTATCGTAAATGAAATAAATCATACACTCTATTAGAATCTATTACACGTATAAGGATATGAGGTGCAATTTATACAAAAGCACACAGATGATAAATATTACATATATTATTGATCGAGTTTAATTGATATAGTCATTTTATAACAACATGATATATATATATATATATATATATATATATATATATATATATATATATATATATATATATATATATATATTGTAAATAATAATAATTTTTAAGTGGTTGACTAATTTTTTACAATTAATACCAACCGAAATCGGTCGGTATATTCATAATAATTTAAAAAACTTATTTTTTTGTTATGGGAAAAAAATAATTGAGCCTGGTCGAAAAAAATTAGATCAAAAATTTTCGACCGACTTCGGTCGGTATACTTGAATCTTTTTAATTAAACTTTTTTTCGGTAGATAATATGCAAAGTCTGACTAGGTCTTAGTCAAATGTTGACCAATTTCTGATCGACATCGGTCGAAATCATTATATGTGTCCGACAAAGCATTGTTTCTTTATTGTGGGA